ACCAGAGCAGATGTGTGGACACAGGCAGTATTTGCTGAGTAGATGGACGGGTGAAATCACGCGAGAGGTGTGGGGGGTATAGGGGCTTGCATATGGCCCCCAGGATCTGTCTGGGAGTTTTCGGTTTCAAAATGTGAGCAAAAAAGCACATCCAGGTATATGCACAGGACACATACACAGGGAGTTTCAATCAGCCTGGGAATTAGACACAGAGAATTTTCTCTCTCATAGGGTTAAGCCTCTGGCTTTATGCCTGGGTTAATTCTTCTTACCGTTAAAGTCATTCATTCAACAAACATTATTATCCTAATAACATCATCATTAAGAAGATAAATCCAATTCCACAAGCATCTCTTCATTGCTTAGCACTGTATATAATTTTTTTTAAAAAAATCACAGAATTAATAGAAATATTTCTAATCTACTAGTATGTGTGGGATTATTTACATAGACGACTCCTTCTTGTAAAGGAGGAGAAGGCAGAGCGGACTCTGTGTGTGTGTGTGTGTGTGTGTGTGTGTGTGTGCGTGAGTGTGCGCGCACGCGTACGCATCTTCACGCACACCTATGGACACCCATAACTGTTCTTACAGGTGTGACTGGAACCTGTCAGGGTGCAGTGCTGAGGGAAGTGGAAATCCGACCTGCTTTCTTGGGGTTTTCCATCCTGTTAGGGTGAAATGTGGCTGCAGGATGCTCTCATGGGACGCCTCCGTGTGTGGCGGCTGGTGAGCAGGGAAGGTCTCCTTTGCACAAGTCTGCCTGGAGTCCTGCCACAACGGACTGCTTGCCCTTTAGGCTCCTGCATTCTCAAACTGGGATATTTCATCCCCACTGGGAGGTGGTGACAGCGGGATTCATTTTGGTATCCGATCTTCCTCTTTTGCCTGGCACTGCCAGTGGGGTTTGTTTTGGGGGGACATTGCTTCCCCTTTCACCGAAGTTGGTCCCGTCCTTGCTGCCTGTAGCATCACACGGAATGCTGGCTGCGGAGGCAGCCCTCGCTGTGGATACACATTTAATGGGAGATCACAAAGAGGCTGCGCCCACACGGTGAAAGGAAGCAGCTGTGTGTAAGTGTCTCTCCAAAACCATGCGGGAGAGGCACTCGGCCCAGCCTGGCACAGCCCAGCATCGGTCAGGTTACCAGGCAACCATAAGCAACAAATACTTGACAGTCTGGGATTGAAGGGGCAAAAACCAGACTTTTTCTAAATATCCTCATTACTTATCATAATAAGAGCCTGTACCTAAGTGTTCTTGTATCCTGGGCTGCCTAAGTTAGCTCGACTCTTGTGTCACTCTCCACAGTGGCCAAGAGCTCAGGAGCCAGACTGCCTGGGTGCCATCTGTCGTCCTTAAGTACAGCTTTGTAACAGTGCTTAATTTATACTCCCTGAGCCTCGGTTTGCTTATCTCTAAAGTGGGGATAATAATAGTTCTACTCTCTGAGAAGATTAAATGAGTTGATGATTGTCAAGTTCTTAGAACAGAGCCTGACACATAATATGTGCTCAGCAAATACTAGCTCTTATTAGTCCTCATATTGTGACTTTTCTCAGCATACTGTCTTGGAAGGAAACTTCCCTTTGGAAACCACAGGGAGATCTTCAGACATACATGCAGCTGATGTGCCCCCAGGGTCAGCCCTGGAAGATAGGTAAGAAGGGACTGTCATTTCAGCTGCAGGGGACACACCTCTTCTGAGCCCACCCTCCTGCCCAATCCTCCAGCTCAGCACCCCTGTGGGGGGGCTTTCCTTACCCCAGCTTCCCTCGTGTGAGCAGACAGCCCCAGTGCCCAGGTTTGCTCTCTTTGTGACCTACTTACTCTACCGACCCTGCCCTCCTCCTACCGAGTCCCGTTCTCAGCCTGCAGTCCTTGCAGAGGTTCCCAAGTGTCTCCAGAGCTAGATCGAATCCCTCTTTTCCATTGGTCTCTAGAAAAGCAAGACCTGTTTCTTTCCAAATGCTGTGACTTCCTCCTTTGGGCCAGCTTGGGCCAGCTATTAAATTGTCCCCATCTCGGGCACAGTGTAACCTTTCCCAAAAAAACTCCTTTAGCGTCCTCGCAGCTCCTCCCACAGCAGCAGCAGTGGCTGAAGGGCGCTTCCCAGCGCTCCTTTTTGATATTCAGAATAGGGGTTAGCGTGTTTGCAGTCGCTATCTAGCTGCAGAGAGTTCCCACTGTCTTCCATTTAAACATATAAAATACTTAAGATTCTTTGTGTTCTTTTTTTAAAGGAGCTTCATCAAGATATAGTTCACACACCATATAATTAATTCACCCATATAAAGTGTACAATTCTGAATATGTTCAGAGTTGTGGATCCATCAGCATCAATTCTAGAACATTCTCATTACCCCAGAAGGAAAACCCCATACCCTTTATGCTCTCAGCCCCCTTCCTTCCATTTCTCTCAGCCCTGGGTAACTATAATCTGCTTTCTGGTTGTCTGTGTGGATTTCACTATTCTGGACATTTCATATAAATAGAATCTTATATAATATATGGGCTTTATAATCATATAATATCTGGCTTCTTTCACTTAGCGTAATGAATTCAAGGTCTATCCATGTTGTATCAGTGCTTCATTCCTTTTTATGGCTGGATAATATACCATTGTAAGGATATATCATATTTTGTTTTTGTTTGTCAGTTGATAGACATATGAGTTGTCCTTTATGTTCTTCCTAGCACATCAAGACCTGGTTCTCTATTTGAGATTGTCTTCAGTTCTCAACCATTTTTTGAGAGGGAGAGCCATTTTTATCAAATCCCTAAATTACTTCTTGATTTGCTTGATGAAGATTAGTAATCCCTGTTCAGACATTGTTTGAACCTGTAAGAAAATTAAAGGTTGGTTCCTCGCCCCACCAATAATTAGTTTATGAGACCTGTTAGAAGAAATGATTCAGACCATTTCTCTTTTCCTTTCTTCTATGTTTTTATTTAGGCTCTAAAAATTCACTCCATTTAGATGAGTGTTCAAACTGGCTGAGGAAAAAAATTGAAAGCTTTCCACCACGGAGAAAATATTATGTGCTAAAAACAAAAATATCGTAGAATTTTAGCAGAGGAAGCATTAACACACCAGGCAAGCGTATTTTCTTTTTAATAGGAACTGACTCTCGGTCAGGTGGGTCCAATGACGACCTTATTTAATCTTTTCCTGCTGGGAGCTAATTTTCCTGGGCATGTTCTCTCCCTAGGCCTGGCGTTGCACAAGGCCCAGGTGGAAAACGTTTTAAGTTTCCCAGATTTCTCTGTAGGTTTGTAAGAGGTGTTGAGCGTCTCGGGGGTGAAGTGGGTGCAGTGAATGGGCAAGCCAGAGCTCTGGGGTGCTGGCCGCTGGAACGGTTGTTCAGCTTTGAATCTAATCTGTATGCTGGTGCTGAGCTAGGTTTTCCAGGACTCACGCGTGTGGGATTTCTTGTGCTGCGTGGGGACCTCACGCGTCCCCTCCCTTAGATACCTGCTCCGAGGAATTCCTCCTTGAAAATCTCAGTGACATGGTAAATATGCCCTATCCTTCTGTCTTCTAAAGGGGGTGGGGGGCGCGGGGAAGGCAGATCAGAATGTCATAATGTAACAAGCTGGCAGGCAAAAACATAATATATTTAGAACCAAACTAGGATTACAAAAGGGACATCAAAATTGAATTAAATTTCCTCTCTATTAGGGGGTTCTTTGATTCTCTCCCCCCCAAATTTGTGTGGGAATGTGAAAAAGCTTAGGCTTTAGAACTGGTAGATCTTAGTGGTTCTTGGGCAAATCTCTGATCTTGTGAGGATGACACTTTCCACCTCCACCAGGGTTAGTGGGGGATTCGGGGAGCTGGCTTGTATGCAACACCTGGTGCAGAGTAAATGGGCTCTTATTAGGAGCTGCTTCGAAAGCTTTTCTTCCCCAAATGAATTTTTCTTTTATACCCTCACTCATACCCAAGTTTTAGGAGGAACGGTTTATAAGGAAACGCTCGGAGTCCTTTTCCTATAGGATGGTGCTAGTTCTTTGTGCTTGAAAGAGATCATCTTTGTCTCCCTTGAGTTCCCTGGACCCCAAGGTTCAGCCATAGGGGGAGGCACAGAGCAAGAATTTGATAGATAAATATGGAATCTGGTGGTTTCTGCAGGGAATTAATGTATTCGTTTAATAAACCTCAAGAATAGTACACCCTTTAATAGAAAGTCCCTTCCCACAAAGGGCTGTGAAAACTTTTGCAATGACTATTGTTTTTCATTTATATCCTAACGTTTGAAGACTGGAGCCATAAGTCTGAGAGCCAGAAGTAGTTAGTAGCAACTTAAAATACTGTGTATGAATGTCGTAAATATCCAAGTAGACAATTCATTTCTCCTCCAGTGGCTTTCTTGGAAGAAAAATAAAAAGGCAAAAAAAAAAGGCTCCGTGGTTTAAGAAAACGTTGTGGTGTTTGGTGATGATAACTTACATTTCTATAATGCTTTCCAGCTTACAGAATGTTTTCCCATTATTGTTTCCTTGAGTGCCCCCGACTCCCAGAGGTCGGTGAGACAGTCCTGTATTATGGTTAAGGACATGCTGCCTCTACCACCTCCGACCAGGTGGCCGTGTGAGTTACTTAAGCGCTCTGGGCTTATTCAACTAATTTTTAAAATAGGAATAACAATACCTTCTTCCTTTTAGGATTTCTATACAAACTGTATGAGATCAGGCATGAATAATCCCAGCCACATAGTAAGTGCTTCATAAATGGCAACTCTTCCTATATTATTACATATAATAATCCTCACTTTGCAGATGAGGACACTGAAAATGGCAATTAATTTACCAGAGATCACACACCTAGTAGTTGGCAGAACTGGAATGGAAGGATAATTCTTTCCACTGCCCCCTAGCCAAGATGTGTAAATCGGGAATATTCTGGTGCCTCTGGCGGCAAAAGGTACCATCATCGTGAGCCTCTTACTGTCTCTTTGGTGCACTCATATTTTAAATATCCATTTTTGTATTTGCAGAACATCATCAAGAAGGTGATCGGGCAGAAGTTTGTGTACAAGTTTGTCTCTTTCCCCGAGATTCTGAAAATGGATCCTCACGTGGTGGACATCAGCCGGGACAGCCTCCTGCTGCAGGACGCCGACTGCCAGGCGCCCCCCGAGGGCCGCGAGGCCCACAAGCACGGCCTGTCCGCCCTCAAGATCACGAGCCGCAACGAATACATCCACTCGGGCCTGTACTCGTCCTTCACCATCAACTCCCTGCAGAACCCGCCGGATGCCTTGAAGGCCATCAAGACGGAGAAGCTGGAGGAGCCGCCCGAGGACAGCCCCCCGGTGGAAGAAGTCAGGACTGTGATCAGGTTTGTGACCAATAAAACCGACAAGCACGTCACCAGGCCCGTGGTGTCCCTGCCCTCCACGTCGGAGGCCGCGGCGGCGTCCGCCTTCCTGGCCTCGTCCGTCTCGGCCAAGATCTCCTCTTTAATGTTGCCAAACGCTGCCAGCGTTTCATCCGCCTCTCCCTCCTCGTCTCGGTCCCCGTCCCTGTCCCCCAGCTCGCCCCTCCCTCCTGAGCACAGAAGCCTCTTCCTGGAGGCCGCCTGCCATGACTCGGATTCCCTGGAGCCCTTGAACCTGTCATCGGGCTCCAAGACCAAGTCTCCGTCTCTTCCCCCAAAGGCCAAAAAACCCAAAGGCTTGGAAATCTCAGCGCCCCCGCTGGTGCTGTCCGGCACCGACATCGGCTCCATCGCCCTCAACAGCCCCGCGCTCCCGTCGGGGTCCCTCACCCCGGCCTTCTTCACCGCTCAGGTAAGAGGCACCCCTGGCGCCCCCTCACTTAGTGGCTTCGGAGAAAGGGAGAAAGCAACCGGAGCCACTTCCTTGTGTCCCTCCGGGCACAATCCTGGGGCCATGTACCAAAGTCACTGTGCGAATGTGAGGGGGAGTTCCCTCCGCAGCCCATGATATACACAGAGGAAAGGGTTCGGTGTCCGGCTGCTGGGGTGCTTGATTGGTTCTTGCCGTTAGTGGCCTAAAGGGACCCTAAGCTGGAACTAGCACACTGGCTGTCAGAGCCGACCTGCACGGCGACTTCCTGGGGAGAGCTGAGCGGCCAGTTTACATTTCCGAAGGCATTTGGGCTTCATGAAATTTTTACGGCAGAGTCCTCTCTGGGGGCACTTTGGAAATAGCCGTTTGTTTTCTGTTAACACGGAAATAGATGTTGACTGATACCGCCACTGCGGTTGTCGGTGTGAGCTGCGGTGGCGTGTAAGGCTCTAATGAGACACGTAGGAGCCACACCAGACAGGAGGAGCTTCTTCACTAAATGCAGTGCTGCTCTGCAAAGGCCCAGGTCCACGCCCCAGGGGACAGGCAAGCAAGTCTGTAGAGCAAGAAAGTCCTTGTGGTTATTAACCCCAAGGGGAAAGCAGCCTCTTCCTTGTCCAGCCGACAATTGCAAGGCAGAGACAAAGTAGGTGCTGGTTAACTGTATTTCTGCTTCCCCTTGAAGATGGGACGCCATTTAGTGGCAGAGATCAAGACCATTACTTTTGGGGTCACAGACCTGGATTAAGCTCCTAGCTACCCCACTTCCTAGGGGTGTGTCTGTGGGCATGACTATAGTGGCTTTGTGGCAGGCTGGGGTCTGGGCCCAGGACAGGAGAGTGGCAGGAGGGGCCCAGGCTGAGAGAGGGCGTTCGCAGCAGAGGAGGTAGGGCACTAGGTAGTGCGCCAGACCCGCTCAGAACTAAGGGAGTCCTGGCCGCGTGTGGGAGATGGGGGAGCCTCAGGACTCAAACTCCACGGTCCTGGAGCATCTGCTCTGCCCTTGGCCTGGCCAAGGGTGGCCCACAGGGAGGGAAAGCAGTGTTAATGTGGGAGAAACCAGAGGGGACAGAGACCAAGCAGGACATAGGAGTGCAGCATCTATTCAGAGCTGAATTCTCTCAGCCTGTGTCACCCAGGTGGTTTCCCTGAGAGCAGACGGGGTATTCACCGGTGTCACTGTGACTTGACAATAAGCCTCAGGTCATTTAGGATTAGAGACCGTCAGGGTAAGATTGGGATTCTCAGAGATTCCCACTCCTAGGAGCTGCTTCAGGGAGTCCCCCAGGGTGGCATTTGGAAGGCTTTCTGCTGAACTCCATTCACCTTGGCCTGAGGGCCCAGTCCTTGTCCCTGAATCACCCCCAGGGCACAGGAGTGAAGGAGAACCCTGGGGAGTGGGGCTGTCCCCAAAGGCAGCAGCAGTGCCAGTGCCTGGCTTTGCCTGGCTGGTTTCTCTCCTACCTGAGCACTTTCTGTCACAGAAAGTCTCCTTTCCTGTGTGGCTCGTGCTGTGTGCAGTGTGACACTGTGTGCCCATGAACATTTGGTGATCTGTGGGAACTTCCTGTAAACCTTCTTAACGGTGGGCTTTAGCAGAGATGAAGCGTGTGCTGTGAAAACTCAATACCCTGGACACGAAACTCTCGAGATTGGTTATTTCCAGCTAGAAAGATGGCAGGAAGAAAGGGAGAAGTCAGAGGCTTGGCATGTCCTGTGTCACATGGTTACCATTGCCTCCAGGGACCTTATTAAACACATACAGGCAGACCTCGTTTTATTGTGCTTTGCTTTATTGCACTTTGCAGATATTGATGTAGCATTTTGTGCAAATTGAAGGTTTGTGGCAATCCTGTGTTGAGCAATTCTATCAGCGCCATTTTTCTAACAGCGTGTGCTCACTTTGTGTCTCTGGGTCACATTTTGGTAATTCTCACAATATTTCAAATGTTTTCATTATTCTATATATTTCGGTGGTCTGTGACCAGTGATCTTTGATGTTACTATTATAAGTGTTTTGGGGCACCATGAACTGCACCCTTGTAAGATGATGAACTTAATTGATAAATGCAGTGTGTGTTCTGACTGCTCCACAGATCAGCTGTTCCCCATCTTTCTTCCTCTCCTCGGGCCTCCCTGTATTCCCTGAGACACAATGATATTGAAATTAGGACAATTAGTAACCCAAATATAAGGGCCAGGTGCGGTGGCTCATGCCTCTAATCCTAGCACTCTGGGAGGGCAAGTGGGTGGATCCCTTGAGCTCAGGAGTTCGAGACCAGCCTGAGCAAGATCGAGACTTGTCTCTACTAAAAATAGAAAAATTAGCTAGGTGTGGTGGCCTGCACCTATAGTCCCAGCTACTCGGGAGGCTGAGGCAAGAGGATCGTTTGAGCCCAGGAGTTTGAAGTTTCAGTGAGCTATGATCATGCCACAGGGTAACAGAGCAAGACTCTGTCTCAAAAAAATTAAAATAATCCAAGAATAGCCTTTAAAGTGTTCATGGGAAAGGAAGAGTCAAACATTTCACATCTCTCACTTTAAATTAAAAGCTAACAACAATTAAGCTTAGTGAGGAACACATGTCCAAAGCTAAGACAGGCCAAAAGCTAGGCCTCTTGTGCCAAACGTTTAGCCAAGTTGTGAATGCAAAGGAAAAGTTCTTGAAGGAAATTAAAAATGCTACACCAGTGAACACAAAAATGACATGGAAGCAAAACAGCCTGATTGCTGATATGGGGAAAGTTTTACTGGTCTGGATAGAAGATCAAACCAGCCACAACATTCCTTTAAGCCTAATCCACAGCAAGGCCCTAACTCTCTTCAGTCCTATGAAGACAGAGAGAGAATAAAAGTTTGAAGCTAGCAGAGGTTGGTTCATGAGGTTTAAGGAAAGAAGTCGTCTCCATAACATAAAAGTGCAAGGTGGTGATGAACAGCAAGTGGTGATGTATTCATAGAAGCTACAGGAAGTTATCCAGAAGGTCCAGCTAAGATTATTGATGAAGGTGGCTACACTAAACAGTACATTTTCATTGTAGATGAAATAGCCTTTTATTGAAGATGCCATCCAAGAATTTCATAGTTGGAGAGACATCATTGCCTGACTTCAAAGCTTCAAAGTACAGGTTGACTCTTGTTAGGGGATAGTGCAACTGGTAACTTGAAGTTGAAGCCAATGCTTGTTTATCTTGCTGAAAATCCTAGGGCCCTTAAGAATTATACTAAATCCACTCTATGTTCTATAAATGGAACAACAAAGCCTGGATGATACCACATCTATTAACACCATGGTTTACTGAATAGTTTAAGCCCACTGTTGAGACTTACTGCTTAGAAAAAAATATACCTTTCAAAATATTACTGATCATTGACAGTGCACCTGGTTACCCAAGAGCTCTGATGGAGATGTACAAGAATATTAATACTGTTTTCATGCCGGCTAACACAACATCCATTCTGCTGACCATTAATCAAGGAGTAATTTCAACTTTCAACTCTATTATCTAAGAAACACATTTCGTAAAGCTATAGCTGCCACAGATAGTAATTCCTCTGATGGATCTGGGCGAAGCAAATTGAAAACCTTCTGGAAAGGATTCACCATTTTAGATGCCATTAAGAACATTGGTGATTCATAGGAAGAGGACAAAATATAAATTTAACAGGAGTTTGGAAGAAGTTGATTCCAGCGCCCATGGATGACTTCGAGGGGTTCAAGACTTTGGTGGAGGAGGTCACTGCAGATGTGGTGGAAACAGTAAGAGAACTAGAATTAAAAGTGGAGCCTGAAGATGTGACTGAATTTTGCAATTTCATGATCACACTTGAAAGGATAAGGATTTCCTTCTCAAGAACGAGCAAAGAAAATGGTTTCTTTTTTAAAGAAAATTTATTTCAAAATATTAAGTGGCACAAGTGTTGTTTTTACCTGGATGAATTGTACAATGTTGAAGTCGGGGCATTTAGTGTGCCCGTCACCAAAATAGTATACATCATACCCGATAGGTAAGTTTTTATCTCTACCCCCTCACACTCTCTCCCTTAGTTTCTAATGTTCTTTAAACCACTAAGACAGTGGTTTCTGGAGATGGAATCTACCTCTGGTGAAGATGCTGCGAACGTTATTGAAAAGACAACAGAGGATTTAGAAAATTACATAAACGTGTTTATAAAGCAGCAACGGGGTTCAAGAGGATTGACACCAATTTTGAAAGAAGTTCTGTGGGTAATATGCTATCAAACAGCATTACATGCTGCAGAGAAATCTTTTGTGAGAGGAAGAGTCAATCGATGTGACAAACTTCATGGTTTTATTTTAAGAAATTGCCATAACCACTCCAGCCTTCAGCAACCACCACCCGGATCAGTTAGTCCGCAGCCTTCAACATCAAGGCAAGACCCTCTGCCAGCAAAAATACTCTTGATTCGCTGAAGGCTCAGATAATTTTTAGCATTTTTAAGTAATAAAGTATTTTTTAAATTAAGTTATATACTTTTTTTTACGCATAATCATATTGTACACAATAGACTAAAGTGTAAACATAACTTTTATGTGCCCTGGGAAACCAGAAAATTCATGTGGCTCACTTTATTGCGATGTTCACTTTATTGTGCTGTTCTGGAACCGAACCTGCAATATCTTTGAGGTACCTCGTGTAGTCCCAAATTCATATTTGAAATTTTGATCCATAACATGATATGCATAAAAAATTGTCAGCATTCTGCTACTCTAACTCCATAGCCAGCATTTGCATCAAAAATATTAATGTTTGTGGTACATCTGCTAGGAGCTGTACAAAGTACAGGTGAGATTACTCTTGTTTTTGAGTTTTTAATAAACAAAGATTACTAAGGTAGACAGATACGATGAACACCCAAAGACCCCTGGAACATGGAACTATGAGGAACTGAAAAATTAGAATACAGAAGCCATACCAAGGATTGGTGCTCGGCTGCTGAAGTCATATTTGAGTGTT